ACATGGTGATAAGTACAGGGATGGTGGCACCAAGGGAACCCCTGCACATGGTAGAGAGGGGAGCGAGACGCCGAAAGCATATGTCTCGAAGATAGCGGACTTCAGGGATCTGACAACGTGTGCGAGTTACATACACACCCAGGTATTTTGTCTCATTAACCCAGCCCAAGGGCGTTCCTGATAAGAGAAGGGGTGGAGGTACAACACGACCGTGCCACATGGCTTTTGTTTTCGCAGTTGAAAGAAGGAAACCAAGTGAATCACACTCTCTGGAGACCAGATCAAGGGCTTCCTGCATGCTGAGGTAGTCAGGCGCTTAGAGGAGGACATCGTCGGCATATCCTGAGTGGACAACTTCTGTCGGCCACGGGAGAGATGCAATGGAGTGCATGAGAGTGTTATATAAGTTGGGACTCAGGACTCTACCTTGAGGGGTGCCGAGGTTCATTTCTTGAACAGGAGATATAGAGCCTTCAACGCGAACCCGGGCCTGACGTCCAGTGAGGTAAGAGGCGATCCATTGTAGAAGTCTCCCTTTAACCCCTAACCGCGCAAGTTCAGCTAAAATGAGGGCAGGCTGAGCTATCAAAGGCTCCCTTGATATCAAGGAAGACTGAGATGCGGGCAGTCTGATTGCAATAAAAGGAAGCAATGGAGTGTGCTGTGCTGCGATGTTGAATGAAACCATTGAGGGAGTTGTGGAAGCCGCCTATGGTGTGAAGAAGGCGACGATGGAGTATACTCTCCATCATCTTGCAAACACAGGAGGTAAGACTAATGGGTCGATATTTCCCAGGATCTCCCGGCTTAGGGATGGGGATAATAGTGGCATTTTCCAGTTGGACGGGAGAACCCCAAGTTCATAAGACATATTATAGAGAGCAAGCAAGGGGCCGTTAGGAATATTAGTACAGGCGTTGAGGACGGAGTAGGTTATCTGATCATCCCCAGGAGAGGTGTCTTTTCTAGAGCGACGAGCACTGTCAAGCTCGAACTGTGTGATGGGATGATCAGTGGGGGCAGGGGAGGTAAGAGCAGCACAAACAACAGGCTCAGCCGCATCGATGCGAGTCTGCACTGCCTCCTGCATTGGATCTGGAAGTGCCTCAGGGGAGGAAGCTCGTGCCCAGTCCTCCATTAAAGAGCAGGCAAGGGAGGCGGGGTCAATGTATTGTCTATGGTAGACCCTGCTGCCATATGGCACCACAAAAATTGTGACCAAGTCCCAGGTTGCTGATCTGTCTTTCTGCCTCATTTACACACAATTGCAGGGTTTCAATTGTTTCTCTTACTATTGACGACACAACATACATATATCATTTCTCACTCATGATTGTTTTAATTTCTGTTATTTATTTAAGGCTCTTTATTATTATTATTATTACTATTATTATTTTGTAATGTTTTTTCTTATTTTTTATTAGTATTACTAATATTTTCTTATAATTGTAATTTATTTTATTTTATTTATTATTATTAATTTTATTATTATTATCATTATTATTTTTATTGATTTATTATATTTTTCGTCCTCTAAGCCTTGATGTGGGTCTTTATAAATGACCCATAAGGAGTTCTGATTGGTTACTATTTTCTATTCAGTGTTGCGCAGTAGAAATTAATATAAACAGTTGGATAATTCAGGAGAGATATCGTACATTATATATTGTACGTAAAGTCGCATTGTATATTAGATTGGTATGATCAGTCTATAATATTAAGAATTAAGTATTAAAAGAGCTTTATTCAAGATATATAGATATAGTTTATTTGAAATATTTTCCACATTGAGTTTCATGATGGTGAATGTTTGTCCGCATCACATTAAGATATTACAACTAATGTTTCTTTATGACAATCTTGAGGGAAATTTAATTACTATTAATATTTTAGAATGTGATTTTCTTAGAGTAATTAAATATATTTTACAATTTAAGAAAATAGGTTTAAGTTAGAGAACTATGAGCATTTTGAATTCAAGTTCTCAATACAGGGTGTTCATAAATGATTACCCTGATTAAAACATGAGAGCTTACGTACTGTTTTTATGGTAATCATTTATGGACACCCTGTATGTTTCGCTCCTAGCATAATCCTAAATAAATGACATTATGTTGATACTTTCTTGTGCGTGGGAGGAAACATTTCTAATGGATTTTCAGCAGATTAGTTTGCCACCATTACTACATCTTACTGAAACAAAACGTTATGAGCTTGTCTTTACACTATGGGTCACTTTAATAATTTGGGTGATGATTTGTATATTACCTTCAATTAAATCTGTTCTATTTATGTTTTCTCTACCATAATTTGCTCCGATTTTTCCTGCATATCTGAAAAATTATATGACGCATCTCATTGAATGACCTTTATTCTCCAAGTAGTTTTACACCTCTCACTCTCTCTCTTTCACTCTGTTTATTTCTCTCTTGTATGTGTGTGAGCGAGTAGAGAGAGAGAGTGAAAGGTGTAAAACTAGTGTAATTGTGAACACTTGACCCACAATTAGAAGATATTTGTTTTCTATTAGAAATTAATTCAAATAATGGATATAATGTCTTTTCCACTACACGTATTTAACAAACAAGAACATATTAAATTAGTGTACTACAAGTATATACAGTATATATATATATATATATATATATATATATATATATATATATATATATATATATATATATATATATATATATATATATAAGCAGTATCTAGGTATATATTGATATAGATATAATACATCTGAGATGTGAATTGCACTATCTAATTTATATATATATATATATATATATATATATATATATATATATATATATATATATATATATATATATATATATATATATATATATATGATATCCAGAAATTTCAGAGTAATTTCAAATGCCCCGCCATGAGTGATACTGAGCGTTCAAGGTCATCTGAGGGGAGGGAGCGCTGCCTGCTCGTAGCGAGAGATTGCGGAACTAGGCCTATATGATATTAAATGTGATTTACCGAATTAATAATGATGCGATTCATGAAGTTAAGGGACTATTATTGAATTTGAAATTATTATAGATCGTTTAGCAGTCTGAATAATGTTACGGGTGTCCCAAGGAGTTATTAGTTAGGCGGTAAATATATCACGTAGGCCCAAGCTAACGCCTTGGGGAGACGCGACGCTGGCTAGGCCCAGTCCCGGAGAGCATTCACACAGACAAGACGTTCCGCGCGTCCATCAGAAATAGTCACGTGGCCTAGTCACCTGTGCTGCGCTATTGCAGTATAACAAGTAAGTCTCATTCGATCTCAGACAGGGTTAGATAGGGCAGTGATAAAGTAAACTAGAGCTAACAGTGAGTTCATTTCAGGGTTTCCGTCAGAACCCACTTGATTGGAGTTGACCGGAGTTGATTGGAGTTGACCGGAGTTGATTGGAGTTGACCGGAGTTGATTGGAGTTGACCGGAGTTGATTGGAGTTGACCGGAGTTGACTGCGAGAGATTGACTGCCGTTGATGATTGAGGGTGGCGATTGTCGCCATTGGACCGATCAGTGTAGGCCTGTCACTGTTTAGCGGGGTAGCAAAGGATCTCTTGAGTGAACGAGTGCTCCCGACAACTAAAACGACACGGGACCAGCATCGGCAGTGGGTGATCAGTTCTTACCACTCCGGTGCACAACACCACGTGTCCTCGGTCAGCTAGTGAAACCCTCTTGCTAACGGGAAGCTAAAGTTTCTCTCAACTGCACAAGGTCTGATTGGCTCACTCTCGTCCTGCCCATGGACGCACTGGGAGTACACTGAGGCTATCTGAGTATATTAATGGTCACACACTGAGACCGTGAGTCTAGGACTCTAGGAGATACCTAGAGGAACATTTTATCTTCATTATTACGGGTGTAGTTAACACCACTCCTCAGACTGATATTATCTTGACGTGTGTAGTTAATATTTCTTAAATAATTTTGATAATATTGTTTTGAATGTTTGTGCCATTAAGTGGAACCAGAGTGATACTGTGATTGATTCTTTTAATGCATCTGATTGTTCTTCATAATTCTGATCTCAGGTATAACCTTGTTCCCCAGAGTAGTGGTTAAGTTAGGTTAGGAAGTGTGCATCTGTTGGGGTGCTATAATTTTGTTGAGTGCCCTTAAGGCCTATTCATTGTAGAGTATTTAATTTCTTAAATTTTATTACCATTTCCTCAGTGACTGATATTATCTTGTTGAGTGCCCTTAAGGCCTATTCATTGTAGAGTATTTAATTTCTTAAATTTTATCACCATTTCCTCAGTGACTGATATTATCTTGCTGAAAGACCTTAAGGCCTATTCATTGTAGAGTATTTAATTTCTTATCTTTTATTACCATTCCTCAGTGACTGATATTATTTTGTTGAAGACCCTTAAGGCCTATTCATTGTGGAGTATTTAATTTCTTATTTTTTAGTACCATTTCCTAAGTGACTGATATTATTTTGTGAAAGCCTTAAGGCCTGTTCATGTGTGCGAGCAACATTTCTTAATACTTCAAATTTATTGTTGCCTGTGTTTCTAATAATTTCTATGTCATGTATAACTTTTATTCCCCAGAGTAGTGTTTAAAGTTTAAGTTAAGAGGTGCGCATATTGGTGTACCATTATTTGATTGTGTTTGTAGTGTTGGAGGGAATATAAGTGTCTAAATTTTACAGTGTGTCTCATTCATCCCAGTCACAGACGCTATCCTTCCACGGGTCACGGACAGTTCATTTTGTGTAGTAGATTTAAGTGTTCTTGTGCTGGTTCGGGATTTTTCTCAAAGGGGCGCTTCCACTGCCTTTACCATCTATTAAATTTTAATAAACCCCAAGTCAAGTGAGAAATTAAAGTCCAGCAAATTCCGACCGGTTACATATATATATATATATATATATATATATATATATATATATATATATATATATATATATATATATATATATATATATATATATATATATATATATATATATATATATATATATATATAGTACACTAATTTCCGTGCCGATAACATTAGGCATGATGGAAATAAGTATGGGACAAAATCCAACTTCAAATGAACTAGCATAACATCTCTTGGGTTGGTGAGACTTTGTTGACTTTATTTTAGTGGCTGTATTTTCATTTGAGGGATGAAATCTAGTTGGAAATAGTGCGTTTTGGTTTAGGTTTACACAAAATGATTTCTTTGCTGAATACTTTTCTTTATATGAAGTTCAGACTAATTTTCGTTTTGATTAAAATAAATGTCTCCAGTAACCTACTGCAGAACATGAGGTGGTGAGTTTCATTATATAAGATTTGGAGAATGGAGTGTAAGAGAGTGGAGTATCTCCAAGACGAACGCCAGCATACCAACAGCATATCCACCAACTAGTACCACGAACATGCCCTGCAAAATTGAATCACAGGGTTACACTTGTTCCTATTAAAACGATATAATACGTGAATTATTTGAAAATCACAAAATGTGCGATTATGTTGATGTATCATTAATAATGTTCAAATATTTTGTTTGTGTACATTAAGAGTAAATTAGAACTTGTACGGCATTTTTTTACGACATAATATGATTTTTGTCTTGCATATCTAATGTAGCGGCTAAGCTACGTTATCCGTGAAATTCTTGACATTAGCCTTTACAACTAAGAATATGTTTGAATATTGGTTGCTTTACCCAGAGGTTGGAGGGAGAGAGCGAACTTTTGACGGTGATCTTTGTAGGAGGTGAAACACATGCCGTAGCGTTAGGGCCAGAGAACTTAGACCAATATGAATAAAGTCCGTTCTCCGTTAACGCCATTATCCTGAAGGACAGAAATATTGTTTATCTAAGTCTTTGAGATATATGCAAAAAGTTTAGTATAAATGCACATAACAATGAGTTGTACTAGCTACAAAGCAGCATCTCTTCCACATCTCTTTTCTCTATAATCTTATCCAGCTCAAGGATAACGGATCCGACCACTAACGAGGTATAATCGAAAATAAACACACATCAAAGGTTATTAACGTCATATTGCCAAGTAAGACGTGAAGATATTGATGAACAGAAAATATTATGTGAACGAAATTATGAAAAAAACAAGTTAAACTTTACAACTCAATACAACCTTCTGCGAAACACTTCAGTTTGTCAACACCGGTACTCTCTGTCGCCACCTGTATGGTGTTGCTGATGGCCTGGTTCTGGTCTCTACCTATCATGTTGCCCAGGGTCAACATCTCCGGCAACAAGTACCTGTAACGTCCTTTATGGTCCCCAGTCACAACTGGGCTGTAGTGGTGGGTAATACCAAGGATTTTGATTCGATACGATACCAAACATTTTTCAGTTCAGTATCTGTGGTATCGAGTACCTATACCAAGTATTTGTGAAGTCAGTATCGGTTGTGTTGAGAACTTTGCAGCAATAACACTGAAGGTGAATAAATGAAATTTTTTTCAGGGCTTTTTGCATATAATAAAAAGTTACATACCTAAAAAAATAATAAAGAATTTATATGATTTGGATATTTAATAAAGAAAGTGCTACTCTTTAAAATAAAAAAAAGTAAATAACTAAATAACTAAATCCCAAGAACTTCTAATGAAAATAGTATCACTATGATAAGGGGAAAAAGTCTGGAAAATTAATCGATCTTACTTTTTTGTAGGTAACTGCTTAGAAATAATATATGACATTACTTTACTTGAATTCTCCTCGTTGTTTTCAGTACAGCCACACTGCACTTCTTTTTATTGTAGTAGTAGAAGTCATTGTGTCGGGTTACGGTCAGAGTAACTAGAGAGGGTATAGTATATCCGTCTCTGGAGAAACCAATACAGACAGTTACTGCATACGTCAAAACGTTATAGTTCGGGTTAGTTTCCTCATAGTGTCATTATCGCTGAATTTTTTATTGCATTTTGGTTGTTATCTATATCTGTAATATTATTATACTACGAAGACTATCTTATTGCAATTTACCATTTATTAATTTCAAGTAAGTGACGAGACGGAGCGCTAGACTTGCTGTTGATTGTGCAAGGACTATGCTTGCTAGAATTAGCAGTTTTATGGCAAATTAGCAACACGACACCAGAGGCACAGAATTGTGTTTCATCCCCTTCCTTACCCTGTACCCCTCCCCCTTCCCTGAAGTCTGTGGGTGAACTTCAAGGGGCTGGGCTGCCAGACACTGAATAATGGTAATTTGTGAAATTACTGATAACCCTTATAAGACTATTTGGCCAGTTTTAATGTAGTACTCATAGTACTCGATACCAAGCTTTCACTATCGATACTCTCAAGTATATGGTTGGTATCGGAAATATCGATACTTTGGTATCCATACGCCCACCACTACTGGCCTGCATTATTATTTGCACCGCGTATCCGAACAGTAAATTCAGAGTGGGAGAATTTTAACGAAATATGCGAAAATAATACATACAAATAGGCAGCCCTACAGCTGAAAATAATACCTTTAACAAAATAATGAACGACCTGTATCCGTTGTTTTTGGCTCAACTATAGCTTGCTTTCCCAGGCAGGTCCTGGCATGTTCTCAAATTGTCGTTTCTTGCAGGAACATTGTTATAACCTCATTTGTCTCACACAAAAACAGAATATACGTCTGTGTGTATTTTGTGTCGTGAGAAAACACTTCATTTCATATCTATGAACTAAAATCATCACGGAACCTGATCTAATCTGCAAGTTCACCAACTTTTGTTATCATTTAACACCGTGGATTACCCTTCCCCCTACAAAAAAAATCACTGCACCTCGACAATCAACCTTGGATGACTGATATTACTCATGAATTAATCCAGAAGCGACAGTGAGACGCGGTAATAAAGTTATTATTTTAGTGATTTAGTCTAAATTACCAGATGAAGGTCGACACAACAGGATCTAAGGACCATAATCAGCTTCCTCAGGGCAGGCATCAGGGTATGGTTCATAGATGAAGAAATTATGAACGTGTGCCAAGCGATGGTATATTCTAACCCAAAACGTGTAGAGTTAGTTTAAGACAACCTTGGAGGTTAGGAGAATAAAATGACTAGATTAAAGTGTCCTGTAAATGCTTTCAATTAAAGCTGAATTCTGAGTCAGAGATTTGTTTGATGCAATTGATTTAGGAGTACTGTAAGAACGATCCCGTAGATAATTAAAGAACATACGATAGATAGATAGATAGATCGAATAACAGACAGACAGAGAGACAGACAGTCAGACAACCAGATAGATCGATAGATAGAGAAGAACATAAGAACATAAGAAAATAAGGAGTCTGCAATAGGCCGGTTGGCCTGTGCATGGCAGCTCCTGTCGAGAGTTAGATAGTCACACCATTAGAAGATGAATTTTTCTGCAATACTGTATCAGGTAGGTAAGAATCTGCTCATACACTGATAACATTCATTACGGAACCAAAAAAACATTCTGGTTCACTATTTAGGAGAATTTCTTGTTGATAGAAACTGTCCGTTTGAGATGTAAATAATTACCTCTGACTTACAGCTGGTATCAGAAGACTATCTTTCTGGCCCACCATGGCATACATGAAGCGAAAATATTTTGCCTTAGTCTTATAGAAGTCGCACCTTCCTGTTGAAGAAAAAGTTTTCCTCACGGAAGAATAATTAGGGCGATTATCATAACATATTAAATGGCAAAGTGCTGATAATATTGGATGTATAATGAAAAAAACAGTTTTAAGAACATACTGTACTAACTGTAATAGTTAAAGATTGTATATGTGATGGAATAATTATCTCCATTGGTATTATCATATTGGCTCAAACAACAACATGCCTTAGCGACGTGAATAACACCATAACTATCCTTGATTTTTTTTCCTATGGTCTTTCTCCTAACATGTTACACTAAATGAAATATTGGTGTCAATGGCATTTATGGAAATATCAAATATAACCTGTTTGCGAGAAGTCCTGAGTCATTCTGTTAAAAATAGAGTTTTCAACATCGAGGAGGACGTGGTCACCTCTCCTCACCAGAGTGTCGAAGGCATCCCGGATATCTGCCGCTACCCTGTGTATGACGCGGCCCTTCTGCTCTAAGGCACCCACCTCACGGAATATACCAGACGTCGAGGTCTTGAAAAAAAAGTGAAAGGTTACTTGCTTCAACGTTGGTAATTTATTGAAGTCACGTACACACACACACACACACACCACGAATCACACCAAAACCGTAGTCATGCGCATCAATACCGCCACCACTCCAGTGCAAGCTCCAGCAGTTACAGTGGGTGCCCATCCTCTCCAGTAGGTGCAGTCTGCCAAACTCCTGGGTGTAACTATAGACCACAAACTGGACTGGAAGGCCCATGTAAACAACACTATCAAGGCAACCTCGTCCCCACTCTACATGCTACTACGACTCAGGTCACTTGGGGCACCCACGCCAGAGCTGAGGATTATCTACAACGCATTTATTCTCCCCAAATTAACGTATGCGTCACCAGCTTGATCGTCTTCTCTCACCTCTACCCAACAATATCAGCTACTGTAGAGAAGGTACAGAAGAGGGCCTGCAGAATCATGCTCGGCACCGACTACTCCGGCTACAACAACGCTCTCTCCACCCTGGAAATGCCATCCCTCAGTGACCTCCACCACCACGCATTAGCAAGGTTTGGTAGTCGACTGCTGCACCATCCTCGTCATCGACACCTATTACCACCTGCAATACCCCGCCCACCTTGCGCAGTCCGCCACTACAACAAAATTCAGGGCATATGAGCCCACACTGATAGATATAAGGGTAGCACCATCCCATCTATTGTTAAAATAATAAACAACTCCAGATTTATGTACTGTACAGCCCTGTAAATGTATTGAACGCATATCATTATGTTAAAATTACATGTAAGTTTATATATTATCAACCATTGGCTGCAACTCTATTAATAAACCGTTTATTATTATTATTATTATTATTATTATTATTATTATTATTATTATTATTATTATTATTATTATTATTATTACACATACACACACACACACACATACACACATGTCATTTATGAAGACTTACACTGATATCTTGAAGTTGTTCAAAACTCAATATATATATATATATATATATATATATATATATATATATATATATATATATATATATATATATCATGTAAATCCACAATGAAAACGTGGATATATATATATATATATATATATATATATATATATATATATATATATATATATATATATATATATATATATATATATATATATATATATATATATATATATATACTATAGTACTAGGCGTGTACGTATGTGTGTGTGTGTGTCTGCTCTGGGCAGCCGAAACGGCACAATCGTTTTTTATCAAACTTGGTGGAAAAATCGTAAAAAATTCGTAGAGTGGAAGAAACCTGGTCCCATATCGATGGCTTCTTCAGGAGGCCATTACATAACCATTTGATTTATGATGGAAAATGATGCAAGTCTATGGACTTGGCGCAACCTCATTCGCTGTTCTCTGTCAGCCCAGGATTGCAGTTATCATACGGCTCCCTCCTCCTCCTCCCTTTTTTTTCTTAGCTTTTTTTTTTTAATGTTGTTTGGATTAGTAAAGGAAGGAAGATGAGTAAATAGAAGAATAAATAAAGAAGGGGAAACAGAAAATACTTAGAGATAACAGATGGGGGGAGCTGAGTTTCATCATGCGTCTGGATGCGCAGTTTCAACGTTACCAGACGACCTTACAGCTACAGTGTATACTTATTCCTGTGGCTCATGGAAAAGGAGAAGAGATAAAAAGATAATAACAGGAATGCATGGAGAAGATGACTACAATAGATACAGGGTGAATATAGACAGTGAAACAGACAGGTGGTTGACAAAAATAGACAGATTCATACATGCACAAATAGACAATATGGTAACTAACATGACACACAGACAGACAGGCAGCTGACTGACTGGTTCACATTAGACAAACAGGCAGACACACTCCAACAACGGACAAGACAGACAGATTTGACGACAAAGAGTACAGACGGGCTTACATTCAAACACCACGCAGGCGAACAGACAGTTGGGATGGCAATAGACAGGACGGATAGACTTGAGACAGATTAGAAGGCATTTATAAACAAGAATAACACCAAATTGACCATAGCTGCGTCAGTGAGGGTAGGAGGTGTTACATCCACCAGCGTATATAATAAGACGCATTGAAAACTAACACCCTCGCGCGGAGAGAACATCGATGGTCGGCCAGTCATGTGAGATGGGCCTAAAACTGACTAACCTAGATGATGACTATGATGACTTAACACAGGTGATGACTTAAGCAGATGGTGACTAATATAACCAGAATCAAGGTCACTTCTCTTCATAATATAATTTATCTCGGAATGATATTCGGTGATTCAAAATATTTTTTATTTTATGATTTTAACCTCTCCTTATGGCGAATATATCTTTAATTAATTATTGTAACCTTTATTATATTGATTCTTATAGTATATTAGATACTGAAAGAATCACGACCACAATCATGATTATAGCAAGTACGACCATGATTAAAACAACCACGACTATGATCATAACCACCACCATGATTATAACAACCACGACCAAGATTATAACAACCACCACAATGATTATAACAACCACCACCATGATTATAACAACCACGACTATGATTATAACAACCACGACAATGATTATAAGAACAACGACCATGATTATAACAACCACGACCATGATTATAACAACCACTACTATGATCATAACCATGACTATGATTATAAAACCACGATAATGATTATAACAACCACGACCATGATTATAATAACCACGACCATGGTTATAACAACCACGACCATGATTATAACAACCACGACCATAATTATAATGTAATGATTGAATATCAGACCAAAGCTTATACAGCCCTCATGGTACCACCACATACCAGGTTGACACACCCCAAGACCCAAGGGACTTGACCTCGCCAGCTAATGACTTGAATTAGCGGGGGCTTGACCTACAACTCACCTGACCAAGACACCTGGGCATGACCACACCTGAACACAGCTGTCCAGATCTAACCAGTTTAGTGTTAATTGGGAAGGTCAAACACCTGTTGTGAGACCCCATATAAAGGAGCGGCAGTCCTGCACACAGGGATTCTGCTCATTCGTCTTATTGGGAGAGATTGGATGGAGTAGCAACCCTGGCTGGGGCTCTAGAGGGGGCAGTTGAAAAGATATCGAAGTCTTTAAACTGCTAGGAGAACATATGAGCACGGGGGTGGAGGAGACTGCAGTGGGAGCCGGTAAACAAAGTGAAAGATTACAGGGAAATAGTGTTAGGATTGATGACAAAACTAAATTAGACAGGGAGTTTAAAACTAAACGCGGTAAGGGGAGGACTCAGAACACTACTAACTTAAATGTATACTACACGAACAGTAGAAGTATGAGAAACAAAATGGATAATATTAGGGCCTTGGTATGTACCGAAAAAATCAATATAATTGCATTCACTGAAACATGGATCAACCTACACACACGTGAGTTACCAGTCGAATACCAAATTGCGGGTTACGAACTGTTCCATACCGATAGGCAGACCAGGAAAGGAGGCGGAGAAGGGATAATCTGAAGTGTGAAATAAATATGGAAATTAAAACTGAGAGGAATACAGTAAAACAATTTGGATAGAATTAAGCGACGGTAGGGAAAAATTAATCACAGGAGTAATATATAGACCTCCTAGTCTTGAGGTGAGTACAGACCCCTGAAGATGTGAATTACACGAAAGCGTTTGGGAACTTCGTGTTTTCTTCTTTCCTTGTGGTTATCAACACATACTAAGATCACGCGCACCTACAGTGATTTGTTTGCATATATATATATATATATATATATATATATATATATATATATATATATATATATATATATATATATATATATATATATATATATATATATATATATATATATATATATATATACAGAGAAAGCTGGCCACTTGATCTAGTACTGAGGCGAGAGCAGTGTTAGTGATTCTAGGTCTGAGGGAGACTCAGAGTTGCTACTTCTTATCAGTTTTCACAGAAGAAATTTGCGATGAAATTCCAGAGGTGGAACTGATATTTAAGGGAAAGGAAGAAGAGAAATTAAAGAATATCACTATCAGAAAAGAGGAGGTTCTTAAGAAGATAAATAAACTGAAGAAAACAAAATCCCCAGGGCCGGATGAAATTTTCCTTCGAGTCTTGAAAGAGTGTAGGGAACAGATTAGCGGACCCCTCTTAAACTTATTTACAAAATCATTAGACAATGGTGTTGCGCCAGACTTGTGGAAACAGGCAAATGTAGTGCCCATATTCAAAAAGGGAGACAGAGCATCCGCGTCAAATTACCAGCCGATCAGTTTGACGTCAGTAGTGGGGAAATTTCTTGAATCAATTATAGCAGATAGCATCCGATCGCATCTAGAGAAAAGCAAATTAATCTACGACTCTCAACATGGGTTTACAAAGGGAAAATCTTGTCTAACAAATCTGCTAACGTTTTGTAGGAAAGTCTTCGAGGTAGTAGATAATGAAGAAAATTACGATGTTATTTGCTTAGACTTTAGCAAAGCATTTGACAGAGACTTAGAAACCTTCCGGGACTTAGAAACCTTCCGGGACTTAGAAACCTTCCATATCAGGATAGGTTAAAGAAACTTAACTTGCATTCCCTAGAAAGACGAAGACTGCGGGTAGATATGATAGAAGTATTTAAATGGGTGAAAGGAATCAATAAAGGGGATATAGATAAAGTTCTTATAATATCCGAGCAGGATAGGACTCGGAGCAACGGATTCAAGTTGGATAAGTTTAGGTTTAGGAGGGAGATAGGAAGAAACTGGTTCACAAATAGGGTGGTGGACGAGTGGAACAAGCTTAGCAACTTTGTAGTGAGTGCGGGAACTCTGGAAAGTTTCAAAAGGAGGCTAGATAGATTCATGGATGATAGAGAGTGGTAGTAACTCGACAGGAGCTGCCATGCACAGGCCAACCGGCCTATTGCAGACTCCTTATTTTCTTATGTTCTTATGTTCTTATGTTAGAACTGCTAGGACTGAAGTGGTCTCCCCTCCAAACTGCTTAGTGGTAGATCAGAATTGGGTGGTGTCCAGCTAAAGAATGACTGGCTCCCCGGGACTGTCATGCCCTTCTGCTAACTCAAAATGACTTCACGAAGGATGATGCTTGGGTTTCAAGCTTCTATAAACTACTACCATAGGGAAGGGTCTGTATTAGTCCCTTACTTTTTATATAAATGTCAGGGCAGTACATTAAGTTTATATAATCATATCACCCCTTGTAACTTTCCACAGGCTCTGTGGTCAGGACATAGAAGCCGGCTACTGCAGGCACTCTTACTCAACCCCTCACACCAACAGGACGTATTTGAGAAGAACTATTTAATATAGCCTCCGTCCTCATTTAACACTCATAGCTACAGTGATTAAGTTACGGTGACATACACTTGGAACTGTATATAATATATTTTCTTAATAAATAGAAGAAAGACAATTCGGTTTTGCTACTAAAACCCTATATACTTTTACATGTTCCAGCCCCATTTACTCATCAAGAATTAACGGTTAAAGGGCCAGTTCAGGTCGATATGAGTCAATTCCTTGGTATGAACACCTGACTCCACGTCAGCAGCGTTGCCGAAATACCTGGCTGGAAAATTATCTCGTTGAGCCATGAATCATCCTTAATTGACGTTGCACATATCTAACTAAGATAATTGATAATTTACATCAAATAATTGTGAGATTACAAGTGATAAGCAGTGCATCTAGTTATCAAGTAAGAGTCATTAATTTAATAAGTAATGAGCTTCAAAGGTGATATCAACATGTTGAGACGTCACTTGGGTTGCAGAGACCCGTGTACGTGACTAAAGCAGCTACATTTGACCAAGCTAAATAAATGCTTGCTAAATACTTACTACATGCAAGCTATGAAAACCGTCTTTGACCCCTACGGGTCAGTGTAAAATTCATAAGGAAAACTTATTCATCCATATTGTATAATACTCTGGTTGCTATACTGGTTACAGACTAAACTGGTTACACACACACACATACACACAAGCATGTCCACTGGAAACATATATATTTTCAGCGGGAAAAAATATTGCATTAGTGATTTCAGTTAGGCAGATTGTTTTACTTGAAACTCGAGAAAAAATTCAGATGACATACACGGAAGTGAGTCACATATATTGTTTTGGTCTTCCATATCATGGTCACGGATGGGTCCTTCACTACATCCTCCAGGGTCTGGTAAGGCTCTGGGATGTGTCTCACGGCCAGGAGGGACATGAGGTTGCCGGAGTAGCTCCGTGTTAACACCAGCGTCATCAACATCCACACCCCTAACAGTACCCGCTGCCACCACCACATAGCCAATAAAGACACATCTGAGGAAAAATGTTAATGATAAACTTCTCTTTAACATTTAAGGTTGACAAATGAAATACATACAATATTACCAGCTATGTAGAGAGTATTTTCTACAAAGACTTTTAACAATTCAACTCAGAGACCAAACAAACTTAGCATTAAATGCACTACTATAGTTTGTAAGCAGGTAATCCATAAAGTATTTCATTAATATAATTTACTCTCATGTTTAGTTAGTATGCTTCCCATAATATTTTCCTTCGCTAAATAGGGTGTTTGTTATGAATGATTTGGAGAACTATAGTACTAAGGAATTTGACATTAATGTTATTAGCGATATAGACAGATATGCTACCTCTACAATCATAAAACTAAGGCAGGAAAAGGATTTAGTAGAGAGAGAACGACTTCGGGGTGAGGTCATCGTGCCGATCCTCCTAACAAACAGATTGGAAAATAATGTTTTTAATTTCTTATATTGAGAAGAAGCAAATTTTATCATCATATTAATCTTTTAAATCAACTTACTGAATAAATTTTGATATAATTTTTAATATGAAAACAAAAGCCATCTGAAATGGCTGAAGAACATTTGAAAAAACTAATCGTATATACTGGATGAGGAACATCCCTAGTCTCTACAGTGGAAACGAATTTATAATTGTTCACTAAGAGTGGATTGTGGATATGACAAATGGCGACTGACTGTAAGTCATACAGAAATTACAAACAACTCATTGAAGCGAGGGAAGATGATAATATGTTAGGCATATTAATCAAGCTCATGTTTGTAACAGGAAGTATAGACTGGAGAAAACGGTTAATATTTTAACGTAAATTACGAAATAATTTATATGCCTAATAAACAGATCTTAAGAATAAATTTAAAAGTGTCCAAATATCTTAGACCCAAAAATAAAAGGAAAAAATTACCAAGTGTATAGAAGAGATGTTGGAAATTGTGAGGCGCCGACTGGGTAATGAAGGTTCAATATAAAAACAGAAGATTGTAGGGAAATTTTTCTTCCAACAAAGAATTTACAAAGTCAAGGATTATTTTTAAGTACTAAGTATATATATATATATATATATTATATATATATATATATATATATATATATATATATATATATATATATATATATATATATATATATATATATATATATATATATATATATATATATATATATATATATATATATATATATATATATATATATATATATCTTATCCACGTTTTCATTGTGGATTTACATGAAAAAAAAAAAAAAAAATATATGTATATATATATATATATATATATATATATATATATATATATATATATATATATATATATATATATATATATATATATATATATATATATATATATATATATATATAGTATATATATATATTAGGGTGGTCCTTATTTTTCAACTTTGGAATTTTTTGCCACAGACCCTGCTAAAAGTGTCCATTTAGCACAAAAACATTTTGTGTAGATTTGTTTTTAAATATATTAATATTTAGAGGTTGCTCAAAGCTGTCAAAAATTAAGTAATCAATGTAGTCGATTACTTTGTAGCCGATTACGCCCACCACTAGTGCGTCGCATTTGGCACGATTGTGGTGAGTTTTTGCTGGTCGTGATTGATGATTGGGGAAATTAGAAACAGTTCTGCAGCGTATTCTCATTATTAATTTATATTAATAGTTAATTTCTTTATTCCTCAGGTCAAAATGGCTAATGCAGGAGTAAAAACACGAGAAAATGTGTATTTGATAAAGACATTATGTGATGACATTACAGGGGCTAAGTTACCTTCAAACAGGCAAGTGCTACAGTATTTTTTAAGCCTGCATCGCATACAGAAAAAAACATCAGAGTGGCAGCTGGGGAAGTTCACAGACAAAGTTCTTCAATTTTGGACAAAAGCAAACATTCCCACACACCACAAACCAGATTGTGTGAATCAAGTGCACAAAATGTTTGACAAGTGGAGTAGTTTGAAAAAGAACTCTTCAAGAAAGACAGAAACTCAAAAGCAGAAAGAGAAAGAGTTCACTGATACATTTGAAGATCTCTTTGACATTGCACATGTGAATGGTTGAATATGATGACAGTTCAGGAGGATAAAGATTTCTTAATAGCGCAACGAGAAAAAGGGCGTCGTGGGGCAATGTCATCTCTTGACAAAGTATTCCTGAAAAGACAGAAACGACGAGAAAAAACTCTCAAGAAAGCAATGAAAAGGAAGTTGGCTGCAGACAGTGCAGAGGAAGAAGCCAAAAAATGCCAGGCCATCGTTGTCTTGGACACCAGTAGTACGTCTTCTTCTGAGGAATCCAACCCAGTTCCTGGCTCATCAGCACTTCAAACTCCACCTATTGTCAAGAAGCGTGGGCGAAAAGAAGTTCTAACTCCAGAACTTTCTGCAGCATTAGATCGGACCAAGTCCTCAGATAGAATGGCCATGCACATTGTCACCCAAACTGCTCAGAGTCTGGGCCATGATGTCAGTGAATTGATTCTGAATCGATCAAGCATCAGGAGAAAACGTCAGCATCATCGCAGTAGCAGGGCAGCTGAAATCCTTTCAAACTTCAAACCAGAGTCAGTTTTAATTGTTCACTGGGATGGTAAATTGATGCCTGATTTGACGGGGCATGGGGGCCATGTTGACAGACTCCCAGATCTTGTCTCAGGCAATGGCACCTCCCAACTTCTTGCTGTTCCAAAAACTTCCCTCTGGTACCGGTGATGAACAAGCAAAAGCTGTTGTGAAGGCTTTGCAGCAATGGCACATTGCAGACATCGTGCATGGCATGTGTTTTGATACAACAAGCTCAAATACTAGTCACCACAAGGGTGCATGTGTCAAAATTGAGCAGTTGTTTTTGAAGCTGTAATGGGGCACTCAGCTGCTCCTGACATACAGCTGTTCCGAAGATTCCAAGCCAAATGGGAACAAATTGACAAGCAGAAGTTTGAAGACTCCTCCACCGACGATCTGGCAGAAGAATCGGTCAGAGCTGTTAGGGACGATCTAACCAACTTCATTGAAAAGGCTCTATTGGAGACACAGCTTCGAGATGATTATCGAGAGCTGCTAGAGTTGGCCTCCATCTTCCTTGGCACATCACCTTCTCGGGGAGTACGATTTTCTGCTCCTGGTGCAATGCACCAAGAACGATGGATGGCAAAGACCATTTATTCCTTCAAAGTGTGGTTATTCCGTTCTCAGTTTAAGCTTACTCCAAAGGAGAACAGAGGACTAAGAGATTTGTGCATTTTCTTTGCCCGAATATATGTGAAGGCTTGGACAACTGCTCCAGTTGCTGCAAAGGCACCAAAAGGAGATCTGATGTTGCTTAAAGCTCTATAAGACTACAGTGCCATCAGCGATGCCATATCAAAGGCAACTTTCCACAAAATGATGAGACAACTCTGGTACTTGTCAGAAGAGTTGGTTGCATTGGCCTTCTTTGATGACGATGTTCTCCCAGCAGTGAAGGACCGCATGTTGGAAGCTGTGAACATCGTTATTGGAGAAGAAAAGCATGTCAAACGGGTTACAATCAATCCAGACACACTCCAAGTGAAGAACCTATATGATTTCACGACAAAGAACACAAAGTCATTTTTCAAAAAACTCAAGTTGAATACCGATTTCCTGGCCCTCCCAGTAGAACAGTGGAAAGATGATCCTGGCTTCCAAAATGCAAAAGCCAGTGTACAAGCTTTGTCTGTGATCAATGATGATGCAGAAAGAGGAGTAGCCTTAGTCCAAGATTTCTCAGGTCGCATCACCAAGGACGAACAGCAACTGCAGTATCTACTACAGGCAGTTGCTGACCTCAGGAAATCATTCCCTAATGCCCTCAAGCAGACCTTACTGGGCGACAAAGAGTGAGACTGGTCCTCATGCGACCCCTGCCTTGAGCAGCTAATACCCACTTAGACTAAGTGGGGGGGGCCCAGGCTTGGGGGCTAGGAAATGATGTGTCATGAACATTAAGCATAGTCATAATATTGTTAAATTTCATTTGACTTGAGCAACCTCTAATTATTAAGATATTTAAAAAATATCTCACAAGCAATGTTTCTACCCCAAATGGAAACTTTTGCCAGGGTCAGTGACAAAAAAATGGCAAATTTTGTTTTTTGCCCCAAAATAAGGACCACCCTAAAATATATATATATATATATATATATATATATATATATATATATATATATATATATATATATATATATATATATATATATATATATATATATATCTTGATAAGATCACACGGGAAAAGGGAAACAACGGAGCACCTTAGCTTTCGTCTTTATTCAAGACATCTTCATGTGGATCTACATGATATATATATGTATAAATCACTGTAGGTGCGCGTGATGCAGGTATATGCTGATAACCACAAGGAAAAAGAAAACACGAAGTTCCCAAGCGCTTTCGTGTAATTCACATCTTCAGGGGTGAGTACAAAGTTAGTAGAAATGCAGAACAAGTTATATATATACACAGAAGGTGAGATCAAGTTCACAGAGGAGGGTGAGATCAAGTCCACAGAGGTCAAGTATAGGTAATGACCCTACTAATCTTCACAAAAGCACCGCAGCGGTCGGTAGTCAGGTCAGAGGGAAAAACTGACCCAACCTTCTCACCTGGCCTAAGTAAAACATATTACATTCCTTGCAAGGAACTTTATAAATGCAGCCATTTGTAGTGTTGGGGGAGTTCTTGATTAACATTTGTTTAACAGTGCATGAGTTTTTAAATGCCACATTGACGTTCCAGGTTTTTAGTTTTAAAGGAATTTGAGAGAAATTTTTGTGAAATGGTAATACTAAGAGATTCTTATGGACATGGGTGGGCTTGGGATCGGTTCTATAAAAAGATTTCTTAGTAATGTTCAGGCATTTGTCTATGAAAGATCTAGGGTATTTACGGTTCAAGCCAATATTATAGATATATTTATATACCTCATCAATGAATTCCGGGCTGCAAATTCTCAAAGTACGTAAAAACATTGATGAAAATACTGACTGTTTGACTCTAGTATGAACATAAGAATGGAGGAAACTGCAGCGGGCCTATTGGCCCATACTGGGCAGTCCCGTTTACACCCAACCCCTATTGCTCATATAAGCATCCAAGCTATGTTTGAAGCTATTCAGCGTATTCGAGTTAATGATGATATTTGGTAACTTGTTCCATTCATCCACAACTCTGTTTCCAAACCAGTGCTTACCTATTTCACGCCTAAATCTAAATTTGTCTAATTTAAAACCATTGTTATGAGGTCGCTCCTGGTTGGATAGTTTGAGTACCTTTGTAATGTCCCCTTTGTTTAGCCCTGACTTCCATTTATACACCTCTATCAGGTCGCCCCTCGCTTTACATCTCTCGAGGGAGTGCAAATTAAGGTGCTTTAACCTGTCTCTATACTCAAGGTTCCTAATGCCCGGGATTAGTCATGTCATTCTCCTCTGAATTCTTTCCAATGATTCTATATCCATTCTGTAATATGGTGACCAGAACTGAACTGGGTAATCCAGGTGTGGTCTCACAAGAGCAAGATACAGTTTTAGGATGACCTCGCTAGTCTTGTAACTAACACTCCTTTGTATGAACCCAAGTACTTTATTAGCCTTGTTACTAGCAAAAACACATTGTTTACTTGGCTTAAGGTTCCTACTTATCATTACTCCTAAATCTCTCTCGCAGTCGGATTTCTCTATGGCATCGTTGTTCATCTGGTATCTGGTTTCCCTGTTTACATCTCCTATACTGAGTACTTTACATTTGTCCACGTTGAATTTCATCTGCCATTTTTCAGACCATTCGAAAAATTTGTTTAGATCTTCCTGTAGTTTTGCTGAGTCCTCGTCAGATTTAATAACACGTCCTATTTTAGTGTTATCAGCAAATTTACTTATGTTGCTGTCTATGCCGATATCTATGTCGTTTATGTATATAATAAATAATAATGGTCCAAGTACTGAGCCTTGGGGAACTCCACTTGTGACGTTGCTCCAATGGGACTTAGTGCCGTTAATGCTCACTCTCTGTTTCCTGTCCTGTAACCACGCCCTAATCCATTTAAGGATGTTACCTTTGATGCCATGAGCTTCTACCTTTCTAATTAGTCTTTCGTGGGGGACTCTGTCGAAGGCTTTGCTAAAGTCGAGATATACCACATCATAATTGTGCCCCTCGTCCACCGATTGGAAACTGATGAAAAGAATGTTAATAGATTAGTTAGACAAGAACGTCCGCTTGTGAAGCCATGCTGGGAATCATTGATCAATCGGTGCTTCTCCAGGTGATTTCGAATAGAGTTTGAAATGATTGCTTCCAGTAATTTGCCTACTATTGATCTTAGACTGATTGGGCGATAGTTAGAGGATAGTGATCTATCCCCCTTCTTGAAAATCGGTATTACATTCGCTATCCTTCAGGATTCTGGTACTACACCTGTTTTTAAGGACATGTTAAACAACTTAGCTAAGGGCACCTAATAAGGACTCATAACTTCGTGTTTTCTTTTTCCTTGTGGTTATCAGCATATATATATATATATATGAATTTGAGTAACGGCATGTACAAGCTGGACAATTTTGTAATTAAGAAGATTTGTAACCAGGTGAGAAGGCCGGGTCACCTGACCATCTGACCTGACCACCAACCGTTGTGTGCTATTTAAAGATTAGTAGGGTCATTACCTAATACCTGACCATTGTGGACCTGGTCTCACCCTCCTCTGTATATATACACCTTGATTTGTATTTCTCTCTCTAGTCTGTACTCACCCCTGAAGATGTGAATTACACGAAAGCGCTTGGGAACTTCGTGTTTTCTTCTTTCCTTGTGGTTATCAGCATATACCTAGATCACGCGCACCTACAGTGATTTACTTGCATATATATATATATATATATATATATATATATATATATATATATATATATATATATATATATATATATATATATATATATATATATATATATATATATATACACAAGATGTCTTGAATAAAGACGAAAGCTAAGGTGCTCCGTTGTTTCCCTTTTCCCGTGTGATTTTATCAAGATATATATATATATATATACACATGTAGAGCCTACCTTGTTGTAAGAGTACACGAACAAATTGAAAGGAATTTGCCAAAGAAGTGTGTCCATGAAAAGTTTTCAGACAAAAAAATGAGAATAACAGGAACGCAGAAGTAGACACCAGTAGCAGCGCAGTCAATAAAATAACCCAAACCATCGGCGCTAAAGGCAGCAGGAAGCCCCATGGGTCCACCTCCGGCAGTCCTCTGCCTGCCACGATTATGGAGTTGGCGATATTCAGTGGCCACGTAAAGTCCACTATTTGCGAGCGGCTAGCACTCACAGCAAAAGGACCCAAAGCGAGGTGTGCCTCCTGTGAGAATCAACAGGCACTGATAAATTTTAGCAAAAAGTACACGTTCCTTTTGACATGCCAATCTATTTATAAGTGATCACTATGTTTGTCATTAAACTTACGGAAGGTGACAGGATGGAATCATTTTAATAGAATATATGTCTAATGTTTTTAACTTTTGTGTGCTAGGATGGATCATGTTTACTTGATTTCGAAAATAACACACCAGAAAACGATGTCCGTACTTACCATACTGATGACCATCTTCAGCATAGTGCCAAAAGTCTTGTCAGGTGCCCGAACATACCTGTACCTGCAACACATTGCACAAAATATATTTATTCTTCAGTCCAGTCCTGTGGCCAAGATTGATTGATAAAGATAATAAAAAATTTTTAAACAGTGATAATCTGGTGCATCTTGTTACTTACATATATTTTTTATAGCAAAAAAGAGTAGTCTGGAAAGTCACTTTATCCCTTTATCCCTCTTAGTTTATTACACATATTACGTCGATTCAATTATATTTCAACAGTTCATTCCATATTATAGGAAAATATATCATTTGTAGGTGATAAACACACATGCAAACCTGTAAGCCGCCGCCTGGCTCCCGCAAATAAGTTTTCAATCACCTAATAAGGACTCATAACTCATGTGTTAAGCCTTCTAGATGTTGGGAGGAATTCATACAAACACCAGTTTAGAAAAATACACTCTGTATTCACATATGAAACAAAAATAAACGCCCGATGTAACAATCTGTTACTCGGAATCGAGTATGACGTTCATCCATCTGTGATGAAATAATATGAGTTGTAAAGGATGTCACCTTCGTTGGTTGGCTCTGAGGAGACTAGAGAGTCCGATACGTGACTGGCATGGCCGTTCACAGATGTTGCACATGTGGAGGGCTACATCTAGCGTGGGAGGGCCGGCGGCAGCGTCTTTCCGGCGTTGGCGCCTTTCTGCCTCGGTTGCAGTAGGGCTAATTCGAATGTACTGACACCATCTCGTGTGGTGCTCCTTCAAGCGTTATGGTGTGGAGTAAGCGTCTCCCAGGTGAGAAGGGGCGATTTGTCACTATTTCACGTTTGTGTTAAGACTATCCTTATACTTTTTTGCCCGTCGGCATTACGATTACTATTCGTTAAGTGATTGTAAAGAAGCTGCTTTGGCAGTCTACTGTCGACCATGCAGGTAACATGGCCAGTCCAACATAGTTGTTCATGGATAATGGTAGCCTCGATGCACCTACAGTTGGTGTCAGCAAGAATACTTGCATTTGTTTTCTTGTCTTCTCAGCGAACTCGGAGGATGGAACGTAGACTAGGTTGGTGAAAGTTTTCAAGTGCCTTGAGGTGCCTCCTGTATGTGACCCATGTCTCGCTGCCATATAACAGGGTAGGGAGGACCACTGCTCGATATACGTACAACTTTCTCGATAATTTCAGCTCCCTACAGCTGAAGACATGGGTATGGAGTCTGTCAAAAGCTTGATATGCACATTGTATGTATATTATGTATGCTGGATTATATATTATGTATGTATATTATGTATGTGCTCCATTTATGTATTATTTATTCAGCCTAGCTAGCAGCGTGTGGCAATGTTATTACCATATCCCACATGCTTAATTAATGTGCCTGGCGACGTATGGAAACTGCTAATGTATCACTTGCCATAAGTTGTCTATAGCAGTTGACAAGGAGCCTAGCTGAGGAGTGCTACCTCCCTTTGTGTACATACTCTTATCCAGTAAACCGAACCTACAAAACTATACAGGTGTTTGTGTTCTCTCCTGTATATAGAACTTATTATTCAGAACCTAACATGGTGCAGTGCGTAGTTTTACTGGATGATTACGAGTGATAGTGCGAAGTTTGTGGAAAGCCGGCTTATGGACTCCTGCCCTGTGTCAACCGCCAACCGCCACCCGTCCTCGAAGAATTTAGCAACTTTGAGCAGTGTCAGTGACAGTGATTTTCTGTGAAGTGTTTAGTGCATTGTGTGTTTCGTGCCATTCATGTGTGACCTTGTTTTAAAGGATTCCCAAGGTATACGGCATGTTCCGGGCATTTGTAAGGAGTAGAGTTCAGTGCACCCTTCTCTGACCGCGTCGAGAGGGTAACTGGACTGACTGCGCGTCCTCCCTCCTCTCCCTCCCGGCGAGACGCTCTCCCTGCCCGGGACACACACACACACACACACACACACACACATACATGTACTAACATTCACTGACCGGCGGCTTCCTTATATATATTTTATATATATAACCTACTTATCTGTGTATTTAATTAATTTTTTTGTCTGAAATCTTGTTGATACGACGGGCTGACCGGTCAACACTGATTTAAGACACAGTACACAGATGAAGTAGTTATGTCTCGTGCCTTACGTAGCCGTGGAGCCAGCGCCGCCCGGATGAGTGAGGCGGATGATAGCCCCGCAGAGATGGATGACCAGGCCGGCCACGACGCTCCAGCTCCCACAACATCGTGCAGCCCTTCACCTCAATATTCAGCGTTGTCTCCAGAGATAATTGCTTTAATGAAGTTTATGAGAGATGAGAGGCGCGAGGATGAAGCTCATGGACGTGTGGCGGATGAACACAGAAGGCAAGCAGAGGCAGAGAGAGACCACCAACGGAGATTGGAAGACAGTGCACGGTTTGAAGCTTTGATATCTCGCCTCACTGTTAACCAAGCCCCTGGCTCTAACACTGCCTCGGTACTGACTGGTTCAGATACCTCATCAATGCTTCCTTCACGCCCCCCAGCCCCACCTAAAGCAGCAGCTCAAACACCGCCCATCTTGAAGCCTGATGTGACTTTCCAGACTTTTCGTGAATGGCGGCGACGGTGGGCTGATTATTCTACAATGGTGGATCTCCAGAGTTTGTCTCAGCCTAAACAACTCATCCAGCTGCGTATGTGCCTGTCCTTGGAAGTTCAGCGTGTCTTAGAACATACGTTGCAGGTACCCCCAACCTCTTTGCTGTCTGTAGAGGAGGTACTGGACATTCTACAACGGCACATCAAAGGACAGCAGAATGAAGCTCTGCGCAGGAGGGAACTGTTTAGCTGCAGACAAATGGAGGGTGAGTCTTTTGATGCCTTTTATGTACGTCTTAAGAGAGCCTCGGAAGAGGTAGATATATGTCTAGGCCACCACCAGCAGTGCGAGGAGACCCAGTTGAAGCAGGTGATCTTGATGGGTGTTAAGGACGAGGAACTTGTCCAACGCCTCACCTCCCTCGACTCTTCCTCTTCTCTTCAGGATGTGTTGACGATATGTCGCTCCTATGAGGCTGCCAGGTGTGCCACCTCTGCCATCCGTGCTCCCCCTACAGCTGTACGCGCTGTGTCCCGGTACAAGAAGGACAAGAAGTCTGCTCCTACGCCTTCGCCCACCACGTCCACGCCCGGTTCATTTTGTAACAACTGTGGTAAGCAGCACGGAACACAGGTGTGTCCAGCTGCTGAGTCTACCTGCAACAGTTGTGACCGTAAGGGCCACTGGTCACTCACAGTACGGTGCCCAGCCAAACGCGTCCAGTGCAATGTGTGCGGTCGTCTGGGCCACTATGACAAGTGTTGCCCTTCCAACAAACCCAAGGGACAGCGTCGGCGGAAGCTTCAGCTCCCTTCCACCAGAGAGGGCCGCCCACAGTCTTCCAATCAGAAGCATGACGACCCTGGACAACGCTCGAGCCATATTAGGAATGTGTGCTCCCCCCCGCGTCCCAGGACCAAAGTCCCCCAGTACATCAGTGTCATTGTGACCTACCGCAGTGTGTCATCCCGTCTTCAGATGTTGCCCGACACCGGCGCTGATGCTACAGTCATCGGTCCCCAGCATTTGCAATGCTTGGGGCTCTCTCCAAGTGATCTAGGACCGCCCCCCAAGGATCTCCGCTTTATGGCAGATGGTTCACAGATGACCCCGGCCCTGGGTTCACTCCAAGCACAAGTCACCTTTGGCAACAGGTCGTGTCAAGCCTGGATTGATGTGCATAACGGTGTCCCGACTCCTTTGCTGTCCTACAGACATTGTCAAGAGTTGGCCATCATCTCCCAGGACTTCCCCAAACCTATTCTTGAGGTAAAACACGCCAACAAGGTGCAAAAAGGGAGCAGCAACGACCCTGCTGCCGCCCTACCCCTGCCTCTTGCCAGTGACACCTCTCCTTCGGATGCTCGGAAGTACTTCCTGAAGGAATTCAGCGACGTTCTGGTGACCAAGTCCGCTCTGGAATCCAAGCCTCTCAAGAAGATGGCAGGTCCCTCCATGAGGATCCACCTGAGGGACGACGCGAAGCCCTTCGCTATTTACACCCCTCGACTGGTTCCCCTGGCCTTCCGCGAGGCGGTCAAAAACGAGCTGGACTCCATGGTCGCCCAAGAAATTATTGCACCAACCGGCGATGACCCGTCTCCATGGTGTCACCCTATGGTTGTCGTCGCAAAACCTAAAGGTGGTGTTCGGATCACCACTGACCTCTCCAAGCTCAACAGCCAGGTGTCTCGTCCTGCGCACCCTTCTCCCACGCCCTTTGCAGCTATACGCAGTGTGAACCCGAAGGCGCGCTTCTTCACGACGATGGACGCCCTGTGTGGATACTGGCAGATAGAGCTTGCCGAAGAAGACCGACCACTCACAACTTTCATCACCCCGCATGGACGTTACAGTTATTGCCGTGGCCCCATGGGATTCGCCGCTACAGGAGACGCTTTCTGTCTTCGAGGTGATATGGCTCTACAAGGTCTGGCAAACTGCGTGAAAGTGGTCGACGACATACTCGTGTACGACGAGGATTATATGGATCACCTCTGCCGTATCTACGAGGTACTCAACAGGTGCCGGAAGCACTGCATTACCCTAAATGCCGACAAGTTTGTTCTGGCCAGCTCTTCAGTTGACTTTTGTGGGTACACCCTCTCAGGGAATGGTATCGCAGCTGACCCGGAAAAGGTCCGCGCCATCACGGATTTTCCCACCCCTGCTAACCTTACCGACTTGAGGTCCTTCATCGGTCTCGTCAACCAGTTAGCAGAGTTTTCGTCGGACATCTCCGCAGCTGCTCAACCACTTCGCCCCCTGATGAGCCCCAAGAGGACAGTCCTGTGGACCCCCGACCACGACAAGGCCTTCCAGCAAGTGAAACAGGCCCTGTCTCGTCCACCTGTCCTCGCCACGTTTGACCCAGCCTTGCCGACAGTTCTGCAGACAGATGCCTCACGCTTGTATGGCGTGGGATACGCCCTACTGCAGGATCATGGTGGAGGGCAGTTCCGGCTCGTCCAGTG